AATATTTTTTTCCTCAACTTTTTAGTTCAAAAAGTCAAAAAATGCACTTATTTAAGACATCTCAAACAACCCATAAATAATTTATCTTGTTTACATATATACAAACAGTGAAACTTTCAGAATTATTATTTATTTAAATAGAACTACAGACTTTTAGTATTCTTTTCTTATATCTAATTATAATATATATATATTATTTATTTGTATATATTATTAATTATATCGGGTCGGGTTTGGATCGGGTGAGGCAATACCCGCTAGGGCTATGCAAAATACTGCTCAATCGTCTAAAACAGCACTGATTCGCATCAATTCGCACTGTAATTTAAATTTTAAAATTTATAATCTGTCTTAGAAATTGCTCCACTCCACTCCACTCCACTATAATTAATACATATATAGTTTTTAACCTATAATGAAATATCAAAGTAAAAATAAGTATGAAAGAGATTTAATATGTGAAATTTGTTACACATTAGTAATTACTCCCTCCGTCCCAAAATAATGGTCCCTTTTGGGGAATCCAACTTTTTTTGGTAGTATAATTATTGCATTTGAAAAAAGTTGATTTTTTAGAATATTTTTCAATCTGTCAATTTGCTCAAAATCGCTAAAACTGCAATTTGTCAATTCGTCAATCCGCTTATCCGCCATTCATTTACAATTTTATTTTTAAACCGTTCAAATTGCACCATGCGCACCCCTAATACTCGCCCCCACCCGACCCCTATTGTGAGTGACCAAAATATAATCTATCCCCACTCCACATAAGTGTCAGGTCGGGTAAAATCTACCCCATTCGCGCAAGTATGGGTGGGCCCCCTCAAATCGAACTAAAATGGCTATCCCTAACTGGTGGAAGTAAGGTGGACAGGTATGTAATATTGAATGGATAGAAAAATAAATATGTGACACGTATACATAGAGTTGTAGAAATATATAACATTTAAATAGATAAAATAAATAAATAAATTTTGAACAAATAAATTTATTTTTTTTAAAAATAATATACTTTTCTATCGAAAAGAATTCAAACTTAAATTTATTGACTTAAAAGAGTTTCAGAAATAAACTTGAGTATACGACTGCAACTATAACAAATAGAGAGAGAGAAACCCGTTTGGTTCAGTTTTTAAAATAAGTTTTGAGTTGTATTTTGAAAGATAAATTGTTGAAAAGAATTTTAAAAGTTAAAAATTTATTTAGTCATGTGTTTTGAAAAATAATTTTGGAATGATTTGTATTTTTTTAGTGGACGAATTACGCTAACAGTCCCTATAGTTTAGAGGTCGTATCACTTTGGTTCTTAACTTTTCAATTGTGACATATTTAATTCTGAATTTTAAATCTTGTTCCAAATAAGAACAATTGAAGATACCATTACTTAATTTTAAGGGCAAAATTGTCAATTTGATAAAATATAAATTAATTTGGCAAAAATAAATGTCAAAGAAATATTTTAAATTTTTAAAAATTGTTTTTACCAACCAAAGATAAAATTATGTAAAATTGATAAATATTTTAGACATTTATTTATTTTTTTTACCAAATTAATTTTTATTATGTGTTTGGATGATAATCATGTAATGGGTGATTGTTAGGATTTTAATGTGTAATCGATATATTTAATATATGAAATATTTTTAGTTTTAGATTTTTTGATTTAATGGACTGGTTTAATAATGATATCAAAATTGTCGTCATATTTGACTTTTGAAAAAATAGAAACTAATTTAATGAAAATAAAAACAACCACCCATTACATGATCATCATCCAAACATATAATAAAAATTAATTTGATAAAATAAATAAATGTATAAGAAATTTATCAATTTTACATAATTTTATCTTCAGTGAGTAGAAATAATTTTTAAAAATTCAAAAATATATTTTTGACATTTATTTTTGTCAAATTAATTTATATTTAATTAAATTGATGATTTTGCCATTGAAATTAAGTAATGGTATCTTCAATTGTCCTTATTTGGAACAAGATTCAAAATTTAAGGTCAAATATGTCACAATTGAAAAGTTAGGGACCAAAGTGACACAAACCCCAAACTATAGAGACCACTAGTGTAATTTATCTTTTTTTAATTAAATAGATAGATGTGAGAGAAAATTTAATTAATTGATGTGTAGAATACGAGAGAATGAGTGAAGAGAGAGGAGAAAAAAAAATGATTGATTAATTTATTAATAAAAAATAAAGAAAATGAGAGAGAAGAGAAGAGAAAAAATTGAGTTTTGAATTGTACTTTAAAAATTTATTAATCAAACAAACTTTTTTATTTTTATTTTTTTTGATTAAAATTATGTTTTAAAAACAAACCAAACATGGTCAAAATAATTAGGATGATGACTGACCAACTTGCAATAACAAGTTATCAAATTATATCATCCGATTGGAAGAAAACCAAACTTTGTAACAATCGATCCATGCTAATTATTTTGACAATTAAAAGAAAAAAAATCAATTTATTAATTTAATGACTTATTTCAATTATATTATCTTTTTATTTTTTTATATATATTTAAAAAAAAAATTAACTGTTGTCTTTCTTTTCAAGATAGGCGTAAGTGCTGATATATTTACCAACATTATTATGCTTTTGTTGACCTCAAAATCTTCAACCTTTGCATTGGAAATCAAGAAATCCAGTTTTCAAAACCACGCCAAATTGCAATATCTGACAATGACGACTCTATGGTGTTATTCATTTTTGGAAAATGCTTTAAATTTTAAATAAATTATTAAATTTTTTATTATAAAAAGTGTGAGATTGATACAATTATATATAAATCTCACATTCATATAAAAAATTTAATAATTTATTTAAGATCTCTAATATAACTCCTCCCTATTTTTTTGGGTGAATATGGTGTGATTCACTGATCATCAAACCTATATTGATGCTGCCGACGATTTGCCCACAGAGCTGCCGCGCATAGTTTGTATCCATCAAAGGCGAAAGAAGTAAAAGACATACTCACATCACATATTTAAATTAAAATAAAAAAAATTTAAAATATTAATATATGGTACAAATTTTAATTTTTTACAGTTCATTATTCAACTTGAGAGAACCGGATTTAATAAGCCCATTTTGAAGCCAACTTCGGTAACAGTTTGGGTTGGTAGATCAATTTCACTAATCCAAATCATTTACATATTTCGTTGAGTAAAATATTAATTAAAAAATCACAAATTACACTGCTAGTCCTTGTTCTCTGGCTTTTGTGTTATTTTGGTCACTATAATTTCAATTTAATCGATTGACTCTGAATTTCTTATTTTCTTGCAAATTAGTCCATTTGATTCTAATTGTTAACATTTTTTATGACAAATGTGCACAAAAACGGCATATATCATACTTTTAGGAGTAAACTTAAAAACTCGATCAATTTAGTGACTTTTTTGGGTAAGTAAGTTTAGTGACTTAAACTCAACTAATTTGGTGAAATTTTTTGTCAAAAACTCTAATGGCGTTATCAATTAGATCAAATTGATGCAAAATCTAAAATTAAGGGTTAAAATTGAGCCAATTGAAACTGTAGAGATTAAAATGATACAAACGAAAAAATATAAGGACTACCTGTGTAATTTGCCTAAACAAAAAAAAAATCTATATGATTGGACATAATAGCTATGTGTTTTAATCACACTATATTTCTAAACTATCGCCAAATTGTCTACTTAGTACTTGAACTATCGATTAAGTCTATTAAGTCCCTAAAATATATACATTAAAGTCTATTTTATCCATAACTATCGATTGAATCCTTTAAGTACCTAAAATATTTAATTCAAACTTATTTAGTTTGTGAAAGGATTATGAAAATAAATTACATGTCCAAAAGTATTATAAATTAATAAAAAATTTATCAAGTTAAAATTTTATTTCAAAAAATTCTGAAATTTTTTTCTACCTTTAAAAAGTGAGCGTTAGTTTTTATGGTGAGTTTTAGGGTAAAGATAATTATCCATAACACTTTCTCTATCACATTTTAATAGTCCCTTTTGAGAAATTTTTAACTTTTTAAGAAGACAAGTAATTATTATACTTGAATTCAAATTTTAAAGCATTAATTACAAAAACACCATTTTATTCTCATTTTAAAATCTATTTATAATTACTAGTAAGGGTAATTTTGGAAATTTATAAATTTAAGGTTTTGACTTTTCAAAATAGATATGCATTTTGGGATAATTAAAAATGAAATAAGAGACTAATAAAATGGGACAGAGGTAGTATTTTTTTTATTTATTTTCTACCATTGGTACATATACTTGCCTTTTATCTAATCCATTAATTGTTTTTAAGTTTTTTGCTAAGTTTTTTTTATTACTTAATTAATGTATCATTTTGTTCTATTATTATTTATAGCGAAGTGTTATCATTTAAATTATCTAATTCTACTTATTCAATATATCTAATATTCATATACTTTAATTATGGAATAATTAGAGTTTTTTTTTATGATTATAATTAGATTTTAGTGAATTGCTTTTATATTAGTGGCATCCAAATTTAAATTTTAAAATAATTAAACATACTTTTTCTTTAGAAGTCGTAATTTATGGAATAATTAGAGTTTAATTGTTATGGTTAAATTAGAGTTAACCGATAGACTTTTTTAAAAATAAAAAATAATTAGATTTTAGTGAATTGCTTCCATATATGGTAGCACACAAATTTCAATTTCGAAAAGTTGAGCATATTTTCTTTTTAAAAATCGTAATTTATGGAATAATTAGAGTTTTTATTGTTATGATTGAATAAGAGTTTAACCAATAAAATATTTTTTATTATTCAAAAATCAAAAAATCAAAAAATTTAATTTGAGAGTTTAGAGCTCCCACAAGCCTTGTTATTAGAAATATCATTTTCCTTATATATATAGATTACAACTAATTACAGGGGTCAAAAAAAAAAAAAAAAACTATATTCGATAGCTCTGTAGGGAAGGAAATTGAAATAGAAGAAGATTTAGAAAATACCAAAGAGAAATAAAACACATATACTTAATATATGAGATAACAAAGAAATATTAGACCTTAATATCTTCTGTCATCAAATTCTTTCTTAGTCTCCATCATTGAATTATGTATGAAGATTTCGGTTCTTGGCTTTTTCAAAACACCAACAAAGAATTCTTGATATCATATCCTATCTTCACCAAACTAGGCTGCACGGCGAACTGAATCATCGGCGGTGGCCCACACGCCAATGCCAGCGTCTCATCGGACGGACCAGGGATGTGCTCCCTCAGGATACTCTCGGTGATGGCCCCCACACTATATCTCCACGCTTCCCTCACTGTCTTTCCCACCACATACCACACTTTCAACCTATCACACTTGTCAGCCCAAGCATCAAGCTCATCCCTCAGCAATATATCCTCCTCCGTCCGATTCGCATACACCAAATACATCTCTGTATCATCATTCTGATTCTTCAAGATTGCCTGAATCACCTGATATATCGGTGTTATGCCCGTCCCACCCGCGATCATAGCCAACCTCTTACCAAACTTGTGTTTGCCATGCACAGTGAAACTTCCCATTCCTGTATACTCAATGTGCCCTAATGGACCCTTCACTTCTATCACAGACCCTAATGGGACTGAGTCCAAGTACTGAGTCATGAGTCCACCATTAGGGAACTTAGGGTTCGAACCCTTCAAGTAAATCTTCACCACAAGCTCAAAATAACCCACCTCGTCAACCGAGCTCGTCGGCGTGTAGGCTCGCATGCATAGCTTACCATCAATGGTTACACACAAGAAAATATGCTTCCCCACAGGCAATCCCAGCGCTTGTTCTTCACATGGCAATGAAAATTTAAACTTTTTGACGTCATGAGAAATCGAAGTCTTTTCCACTAGCGTGCATGGAATTTTTTCCCGTGGAACGAGGGCAATGGTTCTCGATCGAGGAACTTCTTTGATCGGATCGAACTGGGTCATGTTCAACTCTCCGATTCGGTAGTCCTCGAGGAGTTTCTTGGCGTTGTCGGAGTGGATAGCATCGAACTCTTCGGTGCAGTCGGTTCCAGCGTTGATGAGAATGCTGTCGGCGCCGCCGGGGTGGTCGAGGAGGAACCGAGTGCAGTCGTAGACGTGGCCGTGGACGACGATCCATGTTGAGTCGGCCGTGTTGTGGTTTTTGACTTCGGACATTGAGTAGAGATTTGAGGTGGTGTTTGTGAAGGGTGAAGAGAGGTTCTTGTTTAGGGTTTGGGTAGACTCGGATGAGTTCTCGAGGTGACTCTGCCGAGTCATCCAGCCACCGGACTGGTTTCCGGGCTGAGTTGGGTGGTCGAACATGATTCCGATCTCGGCCTTGTGTGGCTTGCACACATTCGTCTTTACTCGGAACCAGCAATTGTTCATCATTCCCTGTAAACATTATTTGCACAACGTAAGCTTTCATGAGGAAATGCATGGCGCAGCTCAATACCACATTCATAAGACAAACCCTTGGACAGAAAATATTTTATATTTTTTGGCATTTAGTATAATGAAAAAGAGATGTTTACAAAAAAAAACATTTTTCATAATCAATGAAAATAAATTTGTTTGAACAGCAAATATTTTTCATTTTTAAAATACGCTCTCACCTCCACTACTATGCCACCGCCACTATCACCACATCCAACTTTCATGTGTTTTTTTCTTTTTACCCTTCTTATATACTATTGAAATATTTTTAATATTAAAAATTAAAAAAAATTTCACAAATAAAAACAAGGTCAATGACATAATTTTTATATTCCAGACTTCACAATTAACATAATTTGTGAGAATAAAAAAGAGTGACGTATCATTTTTTGCTAAAAAGAATGGGTTATGTTAACCCCGGGGGGGGGGGGGGGGGGGGGATTATTAGGTATTCTTAAAATACCATATGGTCATACTCTCTCACAAATTACTATTTATTATGTCTTATCATATTTTTCAATTGTCCAATATAAATAATTAATATTTCATCTTCTCTACCAATTATACAATCATAGATCATCAAGTGATTATACTACTAGACTACTACTGGTATTAGGGATGTGTATAATACCGCCGAAACTGCCAAAATCGCACCGAACCGCATCGCCAAGACAAATTCGTTATTATTTGCCAATCGAACCGCCGTTTTTTGGTAAGAAAAATGGCAAATTCTAGTGACACTTTTATCAATCCGCCGGTTTCTATTTTTCTTCCAAACCGCATCGACCCGCACCGCTATTAAATCATGTTTTATAAGATTCTAAAAATTCTTTTGCACTTAAGTTTGCTTGTTGTTCTATACCTTAGAATATAGTATTACATTACTGCTCAAGGGGAATTCAAGATGTCAGTAATCTAAAATAAAATTGGATTCCAATTCACTTTTCAATCTTTTTTTTTTCTGGCCATGTTGCAAACTTGCATCAGCTCACTTTTCAATCTAAATACTTTTCAATAGTAAACATTTTCAATATACTGTAAACCCTGAATGATATTAATTTTATGTATTGTATTTGATCATTGTAACTTCCACAGATGCTTGTAATGAACTGATGGCATAGTCGTTGATATTATCATGTTGTTGCTACACTTGCTGCATCAGAAGAAAGCTTCGCAAGATGCTTAATATCACGGTATCTCTCATCTTTTTTTTACTCTTTGATTTAAGTTTTGTAATTTTAATTATATTTTTTATAAACCGCCACATCCGCCCGAACCGCCAAGGCAAATCTGCCATTATTTGCCAACCGAACCGCCGATTTTTGATAAGGAAAATGACAAATTCTAGTGACACTTTTATCAATCCACCACCCGCCATACGGTTTCTATTTTTCTCTCAAACCGCACTGACCCGCACCGCGCACACCCCTAACTGGTACTACTAGACTACTACTGAATAATCAACCGTTAACAAGTGCGTCATGTTAGTTAAGCAGTAAGACCATCTCTAACGCTTCACCAAGCCTGGCATCAAATTTAAAATTTGGTGAAAAAGTCACTTTTTTGAACTTCAACGGTTTCACCAAATCGATATCAAATCGAGAATTCACCAAACCTTTCACCAAATTGAGAACAGGCACAGCATTTCACCAAATCACTGTTTCTGACCGTTGGCGAAGACCAACCAGTCGACCACTAAAGGGTTCAAACAGTTCAAAAAAAAATTCAAACAGTTAAAAAAAAATTTTTACCTTACCGGTCGACCAGTCGGTTGTCCCGGAAAAAAGGTCAAACAGTTTACTGAAAAGGTTCAAACAATTCAAAAAAAAAAAATTTGCCTTCACCGGTCGATTGGCAGGTCGACCACTGGTTGTCCTGGTTCAGATTTGATGAAAATTTGATTTGATGAATCATTGGAGTCCTCTGTATCAAAATGAGAAAAAAGTCACTTTTTTACTCAGATTTGATGAAAATTTTGATGAACCCTTGGAGATGCTCTTATGCATTTATTAGTTTAATAAAAATGTACAAAAACATTTAATAATAAATGCATTAAATTAATGGGTAACTAAAAAAAATTATTAATTTAATGAATAATTAAAATTTAAAAACTTATTAAAATCAAAGAAATGAATACATTATTAAAAAGTTAATTATCTAAAAGTCTTACTTATAAATGTTATCGTAACTGAGGTCTTATCTAAGATTTTTTGAATGAATAGATCGTATTTAATAAAACTGATAATAATATTAATTTTTCCTAATTTTTAAAACTAAGAATATTATTAATTTTGTATATTAATGTTCCAGATAATTGTTTCACTAACTGATGAAAAAAAAACAGAGCATGAAATTAAACGTTTTTTCCCTTTTTAGTTTGATTCAATTATCCAATAAAACCGAGAATATTATCAGTTTTATAACTGAAAACATTATCAATTTTTTTTTTGAAGTATTTTTTTTATAAAAATTTTGCACATCAATGTTCCATTATCATTCTCTTTTATAGATACAAAACTTTCAATTTCGTACAAAAAACATAATTCAACTTTTTCAAAAAAATGTTTCAAATTGCTAGAATTTATTTTTCAAAAAATTATACTTTTTAGTTTTACCTTCTTTTTTTTTTAACTGAATTTTTTAAATATTTTAAGCATTTTTAAAATTTATAGACACATTTAACATAAATACACTTAGAAAATATAATATTTGTGAAAAAAATATTTAAAAAATTCAACAAATACCAAAAATATAAAAATTCTGTACATCTTTCGTATTGTTATGTATTTATTAATTTTTTAAAATATTTGTTCACAAATAATTTACTATTTAGATACATCTAAGTAAGGTATATCTCAAAAAGTAAAAAAAAAAAAAATTTGCTTAGAATTTTAAAAATATTCACTAAAAACAAAAAGATATGAAAAATTAAAAAACTCAGTTTTCAGAAAATTAAATTTAAAACACTGAAACCAAACACACTAATTAGTTTTTTTTTTTCTTTGCACAAAATTTTGTTTTTAAAATTTTTTTAATTTGAAAGTTGTTATTTTAAAATTTTGAAAATCATAATAAATATCAAATCGTCATATTCTTTTATATATAATCATAAATGGTAAATAATTATTATTTAAAGGACAATTCAAATTATTAAAAAATTAATAAAACTTAAAAATCTAAAAAATCTTAATTAATATTTAATAAAATATAAATTTATAAATTAAAATTTATATATAAATATGCTTAATTAAATATATCTGAACTAATATCCCATGAGCACCCGTACTCACCTAATTGGGTAATAAACAGAAGGAAGTGACGGCGAAAGTGAACGTTTAATAAAAGGATTTGGACTGTCTTCGGTCTCAAATCTTACAGGACAGTCTAAGGGTTTGTTTGGGATAAAAGTATATTTTTTGATTTTTTATAAAATATAAGTTGGGTATGGGTTGAGTTTAAAGTGATGTGGTAGAGAGATAATGTGATTTAAATAAGATGATATGACTTAAATAGGATAGTGACTTTTTGACTTTTTTAAATTATGCCAAACCAAGTCTAAGCCTCCGTTTGGGTGGATTCATTTTTAACTTTGTAAACTTTTTTGACTATTTTAGTCTAGGGTTAAAAAGTTTGATTTGGAAAAGTCTTTTGACTTTTTTAGCTTTTTAACTTTTTTTGTTAAAGAAAGAATGTAATGATTATGTATTGGATGTGATATTTTGTCTTATTAAACTAAAATAACATATTTTTTTTATATAACTATTTTAGTCCAAATCTTGCTTCTCAAACGGAAGCTAATTTAGTCTTGAAAATTAACTTTATATAAATTATTTATTTTTTTGATTGTCTATTTTTATTCATATAAAACTAAATTGAAGATGTGATTGTTATTATTTAATTGGTTTAATTTTTTATAAATATTATATACTTAATGAATATTAAAATGTGTATAATTCGAATTATCAACACCTCTCTAATTCGATTTAGGACCAAAGAAAAATCAATTTCTTAATAAATTTACTCTTTTATAAAAAAAATATATATAATACATATATGGACACACACAGCATCAATCAATCATCACCACACAATTATAATCCGGATAAAATTCTAAAATTATTTATTTAAACTCTAGGAATATAAAAGGGAACAAGTCATCTAGATTATTATTTATTTAAACTAGAGGAATACTACAGTAATTAAATTTAAGCCTCAAATTTAATATCTTATGTCTCCAATAATGACCAATTAAAATTCGTTTTGATGACGACACGTGAATGGAACTTGGCACCATCATCAAAGCTAGTTTCAATCACCAATATGGAAAATGGAGTGGGGGACTATTCCTGAAAATGGCTTGCATAAGTTTGTCAAATTATTAGTCATTCATCTTGAAACTGCGGGTGAGGCAGCCACCTGAACGTCACGTCACGTCACGTGAATGTTATATTCGCATTCCTTTTTGATATTACGTGACATTGGCTTCGTTTGGCTAAGATTTTTTTTCACATTAACACTTTATTATATCCTTTTAAATTTAATTTATATTTTATAATTTATTTATAAAAAGTTTAAAAATATATTTATTTAAATTATTTCAAACATTTCGTAGATTAATAAAATAAACTATTATATTTAAATCATAACAATTTTACTTTTTCCCTTACAACAGTCCAAAACAAATAAAAAGGTCAACCCAAACGGAAAAAAAAAAAAAAAAACTAACCCAAAAGAGCCAATATATATTTTTCTGCCAAACGACAATATTCATATACATCTCTATCTCTATGTGTTTGGTGAGACAAATGAAAATTAAAAACCTTGAGATTCAAATATGAGAAATGTTAAAAACCGTAGTAAAGAGTTGTTTGTGTCAAAAAAAGTGTGTAAAAAATATAAAGTGGTGTTTTGAGAAGTTGATAAAAAATTGACTTTTTAAAAAGCAAATTTTGATTAAA